CGAAGGAATTGGGAATAGGGGATGGCATTTTTGCAGGGAGGTGGATGAGAGGAGGTGTATTTTAGGTAGCTGTGGGAGTCGGTGGGCTTGAAATGGATATCGGTTTCCAGGTGGTTGCCAGAGATCCTGGATATCGATATCCATTTCAAGCCCACTGACTCCCACAGCTACCTGGAGTACACCTCCTCCCGCCCACCTTCCTGCAAAAATGGCATCCCCTATTCCCAATTCCTTCGCCTCCGTCGCATCTGCTCCCAGGATGAGGCATTCCACTCCCGAACATCTCAGATGTCCTCGTTTTTCAAGGACCGCAACTTCCCCCTCCCTCAGTGGTCGAGAACACCCTCGACCGTGTCTCCCGCATTTCCCGCAACTCATCCCTCACACCCGCTCCCTGCAATAACAACCAGAACAGAATCCCCCTCATCCTGACGTACCACCCCACCAACCTCCAACGCATCATCCTCCGACACTTCCGCCATCTGCAATCCGACCCCACCACCAAAGACTTTTTCTCTCCCCAACCTTATCTGCTTTCCGGAGGGACCACTCTCTCCGTGACTCCCTTGTCCGCTCCACACTCCCCTCCAGCCCTACCACACCCGGCACTTTTCCCTGCAACCGCAGGAAGTGCTACGCCTGCCCCTACACCTCCCCCCTCACCCCCATCCCAGGCCCCAAGAAGACTTTCCACATCAAGCAGATGTTCACCTGCAGATCTGCTGATGTGGTATACTGTATCCGCTGTTCCCGTTGTGGCCTCCTCTACATCGGGGAAACCAAGCCGAGGCTTGGGGACCGCTTTGCGGAACACCTACGCTCGGTTCGCCCTAAACAACTGCACCTCCCAGTCGCGAACCATTTCAACTCCCCCTCCCATTCCTTAGATGACATGTCCATCCTGGGCCTCCTGCAGTGCCACAACGATGCTACCCGAAGGTTGCAGGAACAGCACCTCATATTTCGCTTGGGAATCCTGCAGTCCAATGGTATCAATGTGGACTTCACAAGCTTCAAAATCTCCCCTCCCTCTACCGCATCCCAAAACCAGCCCAACTCGTCCCCGCCTCCCTAACCTGTCCTTCCTCCCACCTATCCCCTCCTCCCACCTCAAGCCCCACCCCCATCTCCTACCTACAAGCCTCATCCCGCCCCCTTGACCTGTCCGTTCTCCCTGGACTGACCTATCCCCTCCCTAACTGCCCACCTACACTCACCTTTACTGCCTCCATCCCCGCCTCTTTTTGACCTGTCTGTCTCCTCTCCACCTATCTTCTCCTCTATCCATCTTCTATCCGCACCCCCCTCTCTCCCTATTTATTTCAGAAACCCCTCCCCTCCCCCATTTCTGAAGAAGGGTCTAGGCCCGAATTGTCAGCTTCCCTGCTCCTCTGATGCTGCTTGGCCTGCTGTGTTCATCCATGTCTACACCTTGTTATCTCAGATAGGACTGCTGTCTGTCTGTGATATTCATTTTGTAGGGACTTCTGTAACCAGGTTTCAAAATGGCTTCATCCACACTTTTACATATGGCAACATGAAACCCATTAACCTTCTATCCAGGTAGAAACGGTTCTCAGTGTTCTTGACCCCAACTCTCTTTCATCTTAGAATTAAATGGGCAGCTTACAGTACAGTTGTTTACAACAAGATTCCTGAAACACCTTTTTGGGACTTCCATAAACTTGAAACTTATTGTGAACTCAGAGACTGCTGCCATTGTCTCCAAGTGTAAATACCTTGCAACTTCTTCCAGGCAAATCATTCCAAGTTTTCGTTTGATGCCTAACAATCAACCCACTCGAGCTCACTGTCAGGGATACTTCGGAACAGATCACATCACTGTTTCCATTTATCCAAAATTGAAAGATGCAGTTCCAGATCAACCAGTTAACCTTTAAAACAGTAGAAGTTCCCCTTCACAGTTATACTTTGCTCTGTGTTTTAAGTGAACACTTCATTCTCTATGACATGTCCAAAGCTATTCTTCACTGCTGTTGACTTGCTTCCTTCTCCTGTTTCCAGTTAGTTAACTGTTAATCCCTGATCTAACTCATATGGTGAGTGTTACCCTGGAGATTCTATTCTCTACCTGAAGCTAGGCAAACCTTCCAGCCTGTTTTAAATCCCTAAAAACTTAGACTCTTTAATCCAAACACAAACTCTTACCCACTTCTAGATTCTGAACATTAAAGATTGGCTGTCTCTGTCTCTCTACTCTGCCTCTCATATCTATATAGATCAGATCACCTGGGCCTTGCATCCATGTTTGAAATGAAAATTGTATCCTGCATCTGTACCCTCAATTCAATTTTATCTTGCAATTAAAGGACAGTTCTAAGTATAACCGTTCACAAAACCTGTCATGCCTTACACCTTGTGACTTAAATATAGCCATCCTGGTCATTGTTTGCAGGTGTGAAATCTTGCACCACCTTTCTAGTAAGACAACTTGGATTCCCCTTTTAGCAAGCAAGCCACCCAATCTTGTTCTTGGGTAACAGTTAGAACTGGTTACATGAGTTCCACTCGTCCCTGCATTTCATCCTAACTTAAAGGTCTTTAAACATAATCTTACAATTTTTATAATTGCAACAATGATTTTTACTTCTTCGCTACTGATGTTGAAAATTGTGTGAATTAGGCATGAATAAAAATCACAACACGATCCAAGCATTTAAATAAGTTACTGAGATTGTTGAACTTATTGCTATGAACAGTTGCTGTCACACTCAGGTCTGTTGATGGATTGTCTAAGAAAGTTTGAATGCATTCCTTTTGGAGTCTGCTACATGTGGAGTTACAAGTCTTGGCTGTACATCCCTTACCAGAGGGTGGGAACAATTGGAAAGTCTACTACTTTGCACCTGCAGTAACAGAACTCTGGGCAAACTGTAATCATGCTCAGTTTTGGGAAGTCCAAATGGGAAGCAAACTTAACTTTTGTTTAAAATTAAATCACTGATTATGGCGGTCATTCTGTATTTTTCATTTTAATTACTTTATCTCTAGCAATTAGTTGGATGAAGAACTTTTAAATTAGCCAGCAATAGAACAAGCTTTAGATTAATGCTTACGTTCTTGGCATCTAATAGAAAGAAGTTTCTTCTCAGAAGTAATCAATATTTTAATGCTGGTTTGCTAATCCTACCGTCTGTGGAACGAATTAAACCTCCAAACATCAACTTACTGCACAGTATGTGGTTCCACAGCTAGTGACATGATCAATTCTCTTCTTACACATTGATGTCATGAATCAATGTATTATTGACTTTAAAGATTGGAAAAATTTAAGTTTGTGAAAAGTGGAAGTTGATGCTCAAAAATTTAATTCTGAGCAGTTAATTGCACTGGCATTTCTGTGACTTCATAGTAATACCGATCAAAATATATCAGCAGTTACTCAATCTGATTTTTTGATATTGAAGGGGTGTAATGTTTTGCATGCTTCACTAGTCAGATGAATATTATTAATGTGTACATATTACACTTCCATATAATGCTATAATTTTGCAAAATTTTCTCCTCCATTCTCCACCCCCCCCACCCTTCCCAAGCATTACTTTTATTAAGTTATTTCTAACTCTGATCTAAAACCCTTGATTTATTTTCATAGGAAACAGACGACTACAGATATTTTGATCCAAAAATGCTTCGTGGCAGTGAGAGGTAGGTTCAGAAAGATCAGCACATGTATTCAATATAGTATACGGATGTTATAAGTCAGTGCATTAGTGCAGTGGAAGATTTCTTTAACCAGTTGTAAAACTGGTTGTGAAAAACGTTCTCAGCAATTTGCAATAAAATGTGACTTTGCAATGTTTACTTTTCCCATGTAGCAGAACTTAGTTTCAAAGAGCGCTTCAGTCATAAGTATTCATTTTAAAATTCTGTTCCAAGAATTATAAACTTCAATATTGTTTGATATTTTCCTTTTTCTTCAAGACACTTTTTTGAGTAATTGCCTTGACTAACACTAATATTGACCAATAAACATTTTAAAATTGTGGTGTCATCCACTGTTCATTTCATCACTGACAGTATCACTGAACTAATGAAGCAAATTTTCATCTTTAGTACACTAACAGTGCATCCCAAAATATTGAGAAATAAACTTTTTTCTCCAAGAACATTAAAACCCCTTCCATAATGGATTTCCCAGCAGATCAGTGGAATAATTGCCAATAAGTGTGGCACTCAGCCATACCGTTGAGACACTTTACCAGCTTACTGCCTGCTCTGACTGATTTTGCATGAGACAGCAGTGAGAGAACTATTGTTTGTGTCAATGTCTCTTGGATTTGTGATACAGTTTTTAAAAAACAAAAATCAATTTGTTTTGTTCAGTATTATTTGATGTATTTGGAAGGTCACAGTTTAAGAAGCTAGTTACATTATGATCTTGTTAATATGCTGTTTATATATTTATAGAAGCACATGTTAAAGTTATTGTGCAATTGCTAATCAGCTTCAATTAAAATGTTTACCCATCTTTTGTAACCTCAAGGCCAGAATAGAATGGAAACTATTGTTCAACAATATTCACATGAATAAATTGATTTAGAAAGTGTTGAATTTTGCCATCATTTATCAAACTAAATTTAGGAGTACAATGAATGATAAACTGAATATTGTTGAAGAAGATACATTTTGTCAAAGCCTTTTGTCTTGCACTCATCAAGACATTTTGCAAGAATACAAATGCAGAGGAAAACCAACATGTGTATTGCATGCAAATGCAATACTAGAGGACAATGGGGAGGCAATGGCCTAGCGGTGTCATCACTGGACTGTTAATCCAGAGACCCAGCTAATGTTCTGGGGATCCAGGTTCGAGTCCCGCCGTGGCAAATGGAGGCATTTGAATTCAATAAAATATCTGGAATTAAGAATCTAATGATGACCATGAATCCATTGCCGATTGTTGGAAAAACTCGTTTGGTTCACCAATGTCCTTTAGGGAAGGAAACTGCCATCCTTACCTGGTCTGGCCGACATGTGACTCCAGACCCACAGCAATGTGGTTGACTCTTAACTGCCCTCTGGTCAATTAGCGATGGGCAATAAATGCTGGCCTAGCCAATGACGCCCTCATCCCGTGAATGAATAAAAAAAACATAAAGAGGAAATTTTAGTATTACAGTATTTCTTTCCTGTAAAATGTATTTGCACTCCCAGCATTTTCTTATACTGGGTTTGTCCCCTCTTTACCATTCTGTCAATAATTTTGTTTGTCTGTTTTTGCAGCTCTGTTCCAAGAAACAAAAATCCATTCCAAGAGGTAAGTAGGCTACTTGTGGAATTTGGACACAGTGGACTAACTTTAAAAATTACCTTAATGAATTCTGACATACACTGTGGGAATTTTGGAGAACTGTCAGGATAACTGAAATTGATGAGTGACTGCAGCCACAGTGAAAATATTAAATTTCAAAACTTCAAGTAAAATGTCATCTCAGATGAAGAATGTTACTGCAAGGAAATATAGTTGGAATTTGATGCCAATTTCTCCTGTTATGACTGTTTGCCAATATTTCATTCTTCCATATGTTTCAAGGTTTATTACTGTTTTACTCTGATACTAATGGTTGATGGTGATTGCATCAGTGAGCAATGCCTTTTATCTACAGCTGTATACAAAATTATAAAAAGTCAAAACTTAACCTTTTTAGTTATTCTTAATTCTGTTTTTAAAATCACCGCTCATCTGTCTATAGCTGCAAATTCCCAGGGTCACAGTTAAGCAGAAATTATCATAAGATATAGGAGCAGAATTAGGCCATTTGGCTCATCAAGTCTGCTCCACCATTCTGCTGCCTTCTCCCCATAACCCTTGATCCCCTTACTAATCAAGAACCTGTTCATGCACTGAAACTTATATATGATCACTGAAACTTGTACTAAACAAAATGTTTGTTGAAATTTCTAAATTTCCTGTGGAGCTGATTACCTTCAGCCTCTGATTCAGCCTACCATTATCATGTATAGCATTGGCAGACACATTGTGAAGGGCATGTTGGCTTTTAGTCCTTCTGATTGCAGAGTTGGGAAATGTCTGAAGTGTTTTGGATGTTCTGAGATTGTCAGCACTTTAGTTAAGTGATTTTTTTTTTTAAATCTCCTAAATTTAAATTTATATCAGTATACTCTGCATAACCAGAAAACTAGCATGATTGGTCTTGTGCATGCTGGTTGGAGCTCTGTAAATAAACATCAGTGAATTTTAGCATGCGTAACTGTGAAGTGATGCAAATGCAGCAATCTTGCAGTGCAAAGATATATATAAATTGCCTCAGTAGCAATGAGGTTACGTGGGGGAATCAGCACAAGTCACTGCTACACAAGTTAGATGAAAAATTTCCAAGAAATTAAAAGTCTGCATCCAGAGATTTAGCGGAATATTTTGAATGCATCCTGTACACTTTTTCTGATTATCCGTTTTCTTCCTGTATTTGTCTAGAGCAAGTGTCCAGCTCTTTCCAGATTACACCGTAAGAAGGATACTAATAAGCAGCTTAGAGAAAATAATTCTAGCAACTCTGTTAATACACTTTTCCACTCAATTAATTACCTGCAAGAGGAAATTAGGTTTTCTCATTTGTAATATAGGTCATGGCTTAAAATGTAGTTTCATGACAGTAATTACACAATGGTTAATACCACAATACCACAGCTACAGTTACTTTTATTTCATGTATCAACAATGCTCGTGATTTTTTTTAATGAAAACTTATCATTTAACAAGATTTTACACAACCTACAGTATTATGTTGGTGGGAATTCCATGAACCATGTGAACAGAGCTTAATTTCCAGCATCCAACACTAAATTTGAAATTCTTTCTCTCTTTGGATCAGCCAAAACCAAATTATCACAGATAAATGAAGGAATTGTCAAAGATATTTCTGAAAATGAGAGAATTAGGGGGGTGCTTCCAGAGTTTGAGTTAAAGGCAGTTGGGGGGCCAGCAAAAGGGACCTGGAAGTATTGATTGAAGGTATGCCATATTTTTATGGTGATCAATGAGACTGAAGCTATTGTACTTAATGTTACCAAGTGTAATTAAGTAGTGTTGATAAATAAAATATCAGATTGTATGGTTCCGCTGTGTGTTGGACCATGGCTCTGCACATCCTCAGTCATTATAAAGATATGACCAGTTCTAAGATGAAGAGTTTCTGGCACTGGTTAAGAACAATATCCTTACCAATTGAATGCCAGGAATGGAAGTTTTGACCTAACTTGAATTAATGACAGCTGGCTAGACTGATTGCATGGAAGTAGTAAAGCAAACTGACACAGGGTTTGCATCCATGTACATGGTTTCCATAAATGTAACAAGGAATGATGTTTTGATTTGAAGAGAAATGGGCTAAGAATAGAACTGAGGATACCAGAGCCATGTGGATGGATAAGCTGTTTAGACAGTCCAAAGGAGAGTGCATAATAGAGGAGAATGGCATGGTCAACCACTCAGAAAGTCCCGAACTTAGAGATAAAACAATCCAGGAAAAAATGGCCGAGGAGACTGACCCTCAGAAATGGTTAACAGTGTTAAGATGTGTCTGATAATTGAAGGAAAATGAGACCATTTGTGGACGAAACAGGCCCAAGTTAGCCACTCTGACTGAGTGGAGCTTTTAAAATAAAGTTTGATAATATTAAAATGTAAATCTTATACAATACTGGACAAACATTGAGCAGGTTCAGGACCAAAATTAATAGATTCCTTGAGACTAATTGCATTGAGAGACCCGGAAATTGTGTGGAAAATTGGCTTTGATGTAGATGATCAGCCCTGATCTAATTAAATGGTGGAGCAGGCTTAATGGTGTGAATAGCCTACTCCTGCGAGGGAGTTCCAAGGGAGTTAGAGCTCCAGTCTACACTTGTATCCCTGGCCCTTTGGTTTATTGAAATAGAACGTCCAGTGATTTTATGCTGGCATTCCTTTTTAATTGCCCTCACCCTATCACAGCATGCTTTTAAAGTTTATGCGTCTATGAAAGAATTTATAATTTTGGTTTATGTTCCTTTCTTATTTAATTTCATAATTTCTGTTTTTGTTTATTTTTGCTTCTTTTCAAATTTCTTCATATATTTCCCACATCATGCTTTTAAAGATTAATGGGGTAGATGCTGTCTCAAAACAAGGTAAATGAACTTATAGCACAGGTTGAAATTGGCAGGTGCGATGTTGTGGGAATCACAATGACATGGCTTCACGGAAATGAGGGTGGGAGCTAAATATCCAAGGATAGATATCCTATGGAAAGCACAGGCGGATAGGCAGAGGGGACAGTGTTGCATTGTTAGGAAAAAATGAAATTAAATTAATGCGAAGAAGTGATATAGCGTTGGAAGGCGTAGAATCTGTGAATGGGTAGAGTTGAGGAGCCACAAATGAAAAAATGACCCTGATGGGAGTTATGTACAAGCCTCCTAGCAGCCGTCAAGATATATGGCAGTAAAAAAATCAGGAGTTAGAAAAAGCATGTAAGAAAGGCACTATGACAATAATCATGGGGAACTTCAATATGCAGGTGGACTTGGAAAAATCAGGTTGGTAGCTGACCTCAAGAAAAGGAATATACGAGCCTTTGTTTTTTGAGCACTTGTGGCCGAGGACCCCCACCTCCTACCCTAGCGAAGCAGTGACCATAATATGATAGAATTCACCCTGGAGTTTGAGAGGGAGAAACTAGAATCAGATGCAACGGTATTACAATTGAGTCAAGGTAACAAAAAATACATGAGACATGAGCTTGCCAGAGTTGGTTGGAAGGGAACCATAGCAGGGAAGATAGTGGAGTAGCAATAGCAGGTGTTTCTGGGTATAATTTGGGAGGTACAGCAGAATTTTGTTTTTCTTTATTCATTCACGGGATAAGGGCTTCGTTGGCTAGGCAGCATTTATTGTCTATCCCTAAGAGTCAACCACATTGCTATGGATCTGGAGTCACATGTAGACCAGACTAGGTAAGGATGTCAGTTTCCCTCCCTAAAGGACATTCATGAACCAGATGGGTTTTTCCTGACAATTAACAATGGATTCATGGTCATCATTAGATTCTTAATTCCAGATATTTATTGAATTCAAATTCCACCATCTGCGGTGGCGAGATTCAAACCCCGGCTACCCAGAACATTATCTGGGTCTCAGGATTAATAGTCCAGCGATAATACCACTAGGCCATCGCCTCCCTTAGAGGATTCATCCCAAAGAAGAAGAAACATACTAAGGGGAAGACAAAGCAACAATGGCTGACAGGGGAAGTCAAAAACAGCATAAAAGCAAAAGAAATAGTATATAACGTGGTGAAGATTAATGGCAAGCTAAGGTATTGGGAAGCCTTTAAAAACCAGCAGAGGATAACTAAAAAAACAATAAGCTGGGAGAAGATGAAACATAAGAGTTAGCTAAATAGTAATACAAAAGAAGATTTAAAGATCTTTTTTAGACATATTAAAGGTAAGAGAGAGGCAAGAGTGGACATTGGACTGCTGGAAAATAAAGCTGGAGAAATAGTACTGGGGAGCAAAGAGATGGTAGAGGAACTGAATGGGTATTTTGCATCAATTTTCACAGTGGAAGACACCAGAGTCACATCAGAACTTCGAGAGTCAGGGGGCAGAGGTGAGCATAGTGGTCATCACGAAGGAGAAGGTGCTGGGGAAGCTGAAAGGTCTATAGGTAGATAAATCACCCAAATCAAATGGATTACACCCCAGAATTCTGAAGGAGATAGCTGAAGAGATTGTAGAGGCATTGCTAGTGATCTTTCAGGAATCTCAGGACTCGGGCAGGGTCCCAAGGGACAGGAAAATGCCTAATGTAACCTGACCTCAGTCGTTGGTAACATTTTAGAGTCCATTATTAAGGATTAGATTGTGGAGTACTCAAAAGTGCATGTTTAAAAAAAAGTCCAAATCCACACAGCTTCATCAAAGTGGGGTCATTCCTGACAAATCTGTTAGAATTCTTTCAGGAGGTGATGAAGAAGTTAGACAAAGGAGAGCCAGTGAACATGATCTATTTGGATTTCCAGAACACCTTTGACAAGATGTCACAGAGGAGGCTGTGAAATAAGATAAGAGCTCATAGTATTGGGGCAAGGTACTGTCATGGATAGAGGATTGCCTGACTGGCAGAAGGCAGAGAGTAGGGATAAAGGGTTCTTTTTCAGGATGGCAGCCAGGAACCAGTGGAGTCCCGCAGGGGTCCACATTGGGACCACAACCATGTGCATTATACATTAACAATATGGATGCAGGAACTGA